TATTTTGCATCATTGTTCCTTTTTGTACAACGTTTGTTTTCCCCTTTCAGATATAGTCCCCGTCAGATTCCTACCACCAATTCACCCATTCACAGTAGCCATAGGAAGGTGTGTATTTCTTAAGGGAAGTTTGAGAAGCACTTGGCGTGTCCAAAAGCAAGAAATAATCACAAAGAGGTGTCTAGTGGACATGACAAAGGATATCTTCTCACCAGCAGCAAAACCTGGCAGTCAGCTTCAGTGAGAACCCAGACTTCTGCATTTCTGGACTGGCACTTTCCCTGTGGGTTTGTACTATTTCCAGAAAAATAGCAGCAATTCTGAATTTCAAATGGCATTTCTAGGGACGCTACTACCTCCCCTACAGACCTTTAAGGAGACATAATTAAGCACACAGAAGCTTATCACTGTCCAAATTTACCATTCAACTCCCCCTGTGCCATGTGGTACAAGAGAGGTTTCAGCCTTTATCCTATTTGACCTATTTTGCAATTAAGCCAAATAGCTCACTTATACTGTCTATCTTTTGTCTTCCATGCTCCCTTAAAGGTACCATCACACAAATGTCCTTGGAATTTAGCTCCAGTTTAGAGCACTGTTGTGATTTGTCCTTCATGGAGATTCTAACCTTAGCACAGCACCCAAGAAACCATCACAACCCTAAGCAAACTGTCAACAGTGATGGTCACCACACTGCAAAAACCAGAGTCTTCGTAAACAGGAAGGAAAGAACTGTGGATAAGTTGTTAATGCGTTAGAAACTCCAAGCTGTGTGCTTCGATCTAAAAAAATATCACGCAGGGTTGTTATTTAAAAGCTGGTTAAAGATGAAGTTAATTAAGATAGGGACTTCCATTCAAATTGATTTGGATTGCTAATAAATATTAAAACATTATCTCATCATGAACATATTCATCAAGTCAGCATAGCAACACGGGTCATTCCAGAACAAGTGGGCTATAACCAGCCCTCTGTAATTTCCTTCACCCCATCACAATTATCTTCACAAGCCATCACTATCTGACATCAGGTTTTCCATTGAGTGTTAACTTGTTAATATCCTCCTGTCTTCTCCTGCTGGCGTGTCAGTTCCATCAAGTCAAAACCCTCATCTTTCTTATTTTCCACTTGTTTGTCCTGTTTCTGGAACAGTAGAACATAATAGAGGCTCCAAATCAATCTGCTAAATGAAGAGACGGATGAATGGTCACCCCCTCAGACTCCCTTTACTTCCTTTCTTCCAAGCACATATTAACTGTTCTTGAAGGCAAGGGTCAAATTCTATTAACTCAAGATTACCTCCCTGAACACGCTAATCTTCTCCTTTAGACCATGAGTTTGGTACTTCCCAGTGGTGGATAATTATTCATCTTCACATATGAACAGACATCCCTTAAAATTCTTAAAAATCTTCTCCCTCTTCCCAAAGGCAGGGCACACATCTCCCCTCCAGACCTCCCCCTCAGTTCTGTTAGTGACAGACCCTTCATAAATGTTTTGCTTGATCAATTTTATCTGCAGCTAGGCCAGAAATCAATTTACTCATTTTAAAATTTTATAAGCTCCCTCCTTTTCTAATAATTTAACTGCAATCATAGTGGCTCCCCCTCTATTTAACTTTTATCTTTGGCAATTTCAAGTTTTACATTCCCCTATAACTTAAGTTCCCAATTTACTTTGTCCACCCACCTCCTCCAAGATGAAATTTTCTTAATGTAATAAAAAAACATTGTGACTGGTAGGTGAATGCCTAGAATGCAGTATCAAACCCCACTCAAGAAGGAGGTGAAGTTTCACTGCTCTCTTCTTGTTTCTATGGTAGTAGGGTGTACTTCCCCCCACCCCCCTACACCCCTCACCCACCCTTCTCTTCTCAGGCCAAGATGTACCCTCTTTCCTTCTTAGATCTGGCAAGTTTCCGCTATTATTTCTACGCACTGTCCTCGGTGCTGTGCCCTAGGTCTTTCTCTCTCTGAGCCATCCATCTCCTCCAGTCATTTCTTTGGTTACATTTTGAATCCCCTTTCTCAGTTTGTGTATGGAAAAGGCCTTCTCCTAAAACCTAAGTTTGTTTCAAGTCCAGCAACCATAACAAGCCTTATCTCTTCACACCACCAACAGTGGATCATCTGGACTAGTGAAATGTACAAAAATATCAACTGATCCTCAACACACACACAAAAAAAAACCAGGAAAAAAATTTTACATCTAGTTTTGAAATATAAATAGTTTGGGGTGAGATTTTCTCTCGTTTTTTTCTTTAAGCCAGCATTAGCAGTGTTTTCTTTTATGATGCTGAATATCTGTCTCAGTTTTAAATTATAATGCAGTTCTTTTTTTTTTACGTCAATCAAGCACCAACTGTGATTTTTCCCTATGAAGCTTTCTTAACTAGTTTTTTTCTATCTGTTGAAATCTGTCGTGAAATCTGGTTTCTGTTTCCCCTGACTAATTTCCTCCCATTTCTTGGGATTCTGATCCAAATCAGTTTACCCTGCATTGACTTCTTCAATTTAAAGCACCTTTTGTTTGAAAATGCAAAGCATTTTTAAAATGTTTAAAATTCCAGAAAGCTTTTAGAACAAGTAACACAGGATAGCAAATTCTGCTTTCTTAAAAGATACTCTAGGAAAAGTTGGGTTTCTAGGATAAATTACACTGGTAATTCTGGTGAATCACAGTTTGTAGGGCATTATGATTGGTTAAAAAACAGAAAACTTTACATCAATCAGTCATGTAAGTCAACTTCATCAATATGTAATTTCACAGGCCAAAACTCTGGGGTCACATTCCCAATACAGGTATTTCATGAAAATGCACACACACATCAACCCTGGCTCTCCCTGTGGATCTAAACTCCATATTCTCATCAGACTTTCTCTTAAACCCCATCTCAGCCTCAACTGCACAAATAAGTTCTAAATGTGTAAGAAAGAGAAAGAGAACAAGATGAACAGGATCTCCTATCTCGTCCCTTTCTCAGTTACTGCCTTTTAACTTTTGGCCAAAGAAACTGCTTGTCCTCAATTTAACGTGCCTACTTTTACTTTATATTTATTTTACATGTGATAGTAGGTTTCTAGTAATTGAACTGACCCTTCTTCCTACTGTCTGCCATAGTACCAAGAGATTTAAGAGTACTCACTCTTCATTTTTCTCCCAATGGAACTTTGATAAGTGCAAATTTATTCTACCTAAAATCAATATGTGGGCTGATGCTACTTAGTCCTTATTTTCTCTGAAGATATTAAATTTTAACCAAAAAAAAAATTTTTTTAAATACCAACCTTCCATACAATCCTCAAATTCAGTAACTTCCACAACTACATTTTAGAGAAAAACAAAACATTCATGGTGCCCAGTCACATGTGTACTTGAATACCTAACAAAGCCATAAATTCTGAGTTTTTCAATTTTCTTCTGCAGTTTGCTGCCTTCGCCAAATATAGAATTCCACAGTCTCCGTTGATTTCATCACCTCCCAAGCTTGTGCCCACCCATACACATGACTCTCAAGGCAAAGTAAATGATTAAAAATCAACTAAATTGATAAGAATGCTTTTCTTCTTTTAAAAAATTACCTTAACTTTCAGAATCAGTTTTTGGCTGCAGATGGAAACTGTATAACTCCTTTGAGGAAGCAGTTGTCACCTATGTATATCCTCAACCAGCCCCCTAAAATGAGTGGGATAAAGAGGTATTTTTCTGACAGTACAAGTTCCCCAAGCAAATTTCTATCTATCATGGATGGCAAATTTCTCTCTCTCTCTCTCTCTCTCTCTCTCTCTCTCTCTCTCTCACACACACACACACACAAAGAAAAAAAGAAACATACCTGGTCATTTTCTAAACAGGTTGTGATAGTCTAGGTTCACTTATGGGAGCAGACTATTATAATCTTTTAAAGCAGAAGTGGCAGTGAGGGCACTGGGTAAGAAAGAACTTCAGAAAGTTTTTAAAACCCTGCACCTTAACTCCCTCCTGCTTGCTTGAAGGGACCGCCAGAGCAAAGCCCAAAGGCAAATGAGATTATGCAACAGGTTTTTCCTCTCCGCTTTATTCATCACAGAGTGGCTAGAGGTGTGCTTTCTCCAATTTGAGACCCCTAGGGCTTTCAGATCCTCTTCAGGATTTTGCAGTGTCCATTCATTTTAAGAACTGCATGTATTTTCTCAATAACCGAGTTGTTGTATTTTGTTTTTCTTTTCTTTTTTTTTTTTTTAAGGAAATCAACTTAGCTCCTGAAAACTATGGTTGTGCAAAAATATTTTCCTCCCTGGTGTTTTATTACATGAAACTACACGTGATCAGCAGACCCTCAGTCGCCTCTCTGGGCTTTTTTTTTTTTTTTTAATTTCTCACGTTGTATATCTTGGTGTTAAATAAAGAAGTATAAGTGCACCGGGCTCCCCGACACCATGACTCGGGCCCCCAGGGTGATAACTGAGTTTGGGGGAGGTTGGTTTGGTTTAAGCAAGCGAGCGGCACCGCCACCATCCAGGTGGCCTCGCCGCTTCCACCAAAGGCGAATTTGGGATAATGGGAACAGTCAGGCCGGGGCCCCATTTGGCAGGCGTGTTGTGTAACAGTCGCGCCTGGAAATGAACAGCTTCGCCCGCGAAGATACCGCGTCCCCCGGCGGCGGCGCAGGCGGCGACTCCCCGCGCTAAGGCTAGACGCGGGACCCCGCCAGGGGCGCACGGATCGAGACCCCGCGCCCGGCCGCCCGCCCCGCCGCCTTTTCCCGCTGGTGCCGGTCCCCAGCAAGGCCTACTGCACCCCCGCTTCAAACACTCGTGTGCCTCCGGGTCGCGATCGTCGCCACCCGCCTTCCGAAAAGGTGGCCAGGAGCTGGGGAGGCTGAGCCCGGCCGGCGAGAGCGCGGCGCCGGGCAGCCGGAGTCCGGGCGCGCGGCGGAGAGTCCATGCTGCTGGCGCGAGCGTCCGGGTGCCCCGAGCCCCGCACCCTCCCACCCTCCCGGCCGAACCGTGGCCACTTACTTTTGGGGCCGCCAACCTCCCGACTCCCGGGGGGCGGGAGGTTGAAAGCTGTCACGGCGTCGCCCCTCGGGCCCCCCTTGCCTCCGGGACTCGCGAGGCGCCGCGGCGGAGCCGGGAGGACGGCTGCGCTCCGGCTCGCGTCCGTCCCGTCGCCTCTCCTCCTCCACCGCCTCCTCCTCCTTCCCTCTTCCTCCTCCTCCTCCTCTTCTTTGCACTAAATTATCTTCTTCTTGGAGGGGCGGGTGGGGGCGGGAGGCTTAGAGAGAGAAGAGACGTTTGCAACTTTTCTTCACTCTTTCTCTTCCACCAATAGTCACCCCCCCCCCACCACCACCATCCGCCTTGAAAAAACAAGGTTGAAAGGGGTTAAGAACTTGGGGAGGTGAAAGTGGGGGGCCGTGTGGGGACAGCGGAGGGGGGCAGGGAGAGATAATAATAATCGTTGAAAAACTGCTGAACCCCCCCCAAAAAAAAACCGGATCGCCAGCCAGAGGGGGAAAGCAGGGGGGTGAGGTGGGGGGTGGGGGGAAGAGAAAGAGTCGCTGGTCAGGAAACTTCAAGCGCGGATGAGGTCATTGGTTTAAAAATAAAGAGATGGCGTCACTTGAAACCAATCCCAGTGAATGAACTCAGCGGAGCCCCGGGGAAAGGAGGAGACAGGCGAGGGCTGGGCGGTGGGCGCCGGGCGGGGCCGCGCACCCACCCGCCAGCCCAGCCCGAGACCGGCGGAGCCCGGAGTGCGGCTCAGCGCCTCGTGGGGGCGGCTCGGGGAGGTGGTCGGGCCCCGTTCCGGCCCCCGTTTGGCAGTCCGGGGCAGGTTCCGCCGCGCGGCTGGGAGGAGCCGGAGCGGCCGGAGGAGGCGGCCCTGCGGCCTCGTCCTGCGCCCGCTGCCCCCCGAGCGCTCGACCCCTGGGCCGGGTCTGCGCCACGGGCGCGCGACGCCCGATTTCCTCCCACCCAGATTACAAGCCGAGCCCCGTCCTCCACTTAGGGCTCTTTCCACCGCCTCAGCAGCGTGGAGAAACGCAAACAATGCCTGGAGAGCAGTGCCATCACTCTTTGCAAAGTCTGAGGAGTCCAAACGGCAGGGCACGATGGTATCTTAGGAAAGAGAAGTTACAGGTACTTGAAGAGAAACATCACCCTAGGGTTGTCAGGCATTTCACTCTGTGGGCGCTTGCCGTTGGAGGCCCCCATAAGGATGCGCCTGGCATTCGTTCTTTTACTTTGCTGATACGTCTATGTACACTTTTCATGAATGTGGACAACCTAAAATTCTCTTTGAAAATGTTTTCTCTGTCGGACAGTCATCTTTACAGAGTCATCTTTAATGCCGACCAGAAATTCACTGCCTCTTGAGATGAGCAAGAGCTTATGATTTAACTCCATACAACTTCATGCATGCTTAAATTTGATTTCCTTAAAGTAGCTTTGTTTTGAAACTGAGTTACACACTTTGGAAAACTAGAGACCTGAGGTGGAGACGAACCAAGACTTGGGAGCACTGAATAGGACAATCGGGGCTTTATTCCCCTGCTCTTTGAGTATTTGGGCATGAAGCTGCTTCTACTGAGAAGTACCCACGTGGATATCACATAACAAAGATGTGATTAATGATGGAAAAGCACGCTGTGAGTGGTCTGCTCATGAACCAGCACTACTAGGTGTAGGAATAATCTAGTTCCTAAAATATTCCATTTGCAAGTGTCCTGGATCGGAGACATTGATTCCTAAAGGCATCTTTGTTATGGATTATCCGTATGGGCACAGACAGAGGGGCTTTTTTTTTTAATTGACAAAAGAACTGAAAAGCAGATTCGGTGTGGGTTAGAGGGATTGCTATACTACTCTTCTGCCTTTAAAGCTGCAACTAAAATGCATTTCTCCTCACTGGTTATCATTTAAGGGTAGTTAAGGGGTAAGCCCGTGGCAACTTCTGGCCCATCTTTAAGAGGAGGAAAAGGAGCTCGTTTGGAGACGGGGCACCGCGGGGCACTTAAGGCAGTTAATGAAGCCTGAAGGCCACAGACACAGAACTGACCTCCAGCCTCGCTGCCTTTGACCTCTTCTAAGGCTTAGGCAGCGGAGGGGAAGCAGTCTCTCCAGCGGCTCCCTGTCCTCTGCTGGCCAGCTAATGTTACTGCAGCTTCAGCGGGATTACCTGTGCACTTCAATAAACCTCTAAAAATCTACTCACTAGAAACCTGCTAATTTTAGAACAGTTAAGAAGAGGTAGCTGGAAAGGGTTTGCATTTCAAAATATCTTGATTAGAGGAGTGGAGATCTTTAGAGTTAGGAAAAGAGATTCCCTGTCCTAGACGTGGAGTGGGCAGAGCTTGCCTGGTGACTGCCCGTCTCAAACTGTTGCCTTGCTTTAACTGACACATCTTGAAACCTTGCCCACTGCTTCATTTTACAATGAGAGAAGTGCCTTCCATGTATGTGGTGCTACCATCGCTATTATGGTATATGTCACCTAATCAGACCAGACATTGATTAAATCTATGAATTAACGATTGAGTTGCATACAGTCTTGGTTAAAAGATTCTAGAAGAGGAAAGGAACTCTGTAAGCTGGGATGGTGAGGGAGGGGATCTTCTGAAGAACCTGAACCTCTTCCCTGAACAAAAGTTAAGATTTACTTGGAGGTAAGTGAGCTCAGCAGAGGGAATGTTCTAGAGGGGAAGCAATGGCATGAGCAGAGACAGGGAGCTGGGGTGAATGAAATGTGTCAGAGGAGACACATTAGTATTAGTGGAGATTGGTGTGTAGCAATGAGAAATGAAATTAAATTCAAGAGATTTAGAGGTACATGATGGAAGTACTTGAATGGCAGGATAAACAGCTTCTTACTAGCTCAGCAGCTTAATACTGAACAAGTTTACTTCACTTAAGAGTACATTTCTCCTCGTTCTCCTCAAAGAGCTTCCATATATGCCACCAACAAACATGTGGAACAAATTAAAAACAATGCCATTTACAGCTGCTCCCCCAAATATGAAATATTTAGATGTAAGTCTAATAAAACTGATATGGGATGTGCCTGCTGAAAATTATAAAATGCTGATGAGAGAATTAAGAAGACCTGAATGACAAGAACAACTTATTACATTTATGGATGAAGACTCAGTAGAGCAAATAGGTGCATTTTTGCCAAATTGATATATAGATTTAGCACAGTTCCTATCAAAGTCCCCTCAAAGTTTTTTATAGACAAGCTTAAACTCAGACTGCTTCCAGCATCTTCACAGGAATGAAGTGATGCTATACCCACCGAAGGTTGACAAAGAGCTTGTGTACTGAGGAACCCAGCAAAATGGGGCTTCTAGGGTCTTACAATCAGATAATCTAGAAGGAAGCTGTCTTGTTTACAGACTTCTAAGTGTATGCTTAAGTATTGCTTTTAGTAGAATTAAATAGGGGGGGAGAAGCACCAAAGTTTTTAGTGTTTACACCTCTTTAGGTCTTAATCCCTCTCTGGTAGGAGTTTGACCATTCAGCAACCAATATTGGATGCCTACAGCCAGTGTGTGCCAGGCATTGTGCCAGGTCCTGGAAATAGGGTTATAATAAGAGAAGCAAAATCCCTTCCCTCCTGGAACTTTCTACTGAGAGAAGACCATAAGCAAATAAAGACAAGGGCAAGGACAGGATGGGGTTGGGGACACCGTCATGAGGACCAGATGTTTGAACTGAGGTCTTAGGAGATAGCAACCAGGAAGAGTGGTCTGGGCCGAGGAAGCAGGTCCCTCTTGAGACCCACCAGCAGAAATAGGAATTGCAGAAAGCCAGCATGTTCCCAGAGCAAAAGGGAGGCTTGCAAGGCTCAAAGCTTAAAGCAAGGTAGGCAGGAGCCAGACTGCAAGATCTTAGAAGGCAAGGTAAGAAGTTCACCTCCTGTTCTAAACAATTCAAGTAGGTCAATACAGGATCTGATTTAGGAGGAGGATATTTGCAAGTAAACATAGTAGTAGTTTAGGCTCTTTTTTTTTTTTTTTTCAGTTTTAGTAACAGTCATAAATAGTTAAGTAAATTTAGTAGCTCCCTGTTCCAATAGGAAGAGAACATTTTTGTTCATATACTTAATTCCCTTTCACAGCTCCAAATCAAGTGTTCATAGCTTAGCAGTCATAGATTTTTAAGACTGCATGAATGGGCTTCAGAGGATCTAGGAATGCCCTAAAACTTTGGGGAAATCACTTTAGGAAATGACAGTACTATTTTTTTTTAAAGACTTATGAATAAGGATGTTAGGTATAATCTAACATAACAGCTAACTTTTGTTTAAAGTTCCCTCTCATGGCCCTCCCTAGTGGCGCAATAGGTTAGGACACAGCACTGCAAGCCAGCCAGCCGCAGCCCCTTCAGCCCAGGAGGTGACGCACAAGGTCAGCAGACTGCTGTCTTGACCGCTGCTCCCCTCAGCAGTGTATTTCAGAAGATCCATCTGTTCTGCTCCCCACTCTGACTCTGGTGAATCCTCTCACCCACCCCCACTCTTATGGCCTACACCCCAGTTCTTGTATGCATAAATAAATAAATCTTTAAAAAATAAAGTTTCCTCTCTTAATTCCCACAAGCACCATCCCCTCCATGTTAGAGCTAACTTGCTCCATGTCACCCTGTAAAAGGAAGAATGGGATCTGAACATGCACTGCCCAACTAACAAAATAAAGATCATAGCCATCTCATCAGCTATGCCAAAGGGCTTGAACTTTATTCAAGGAAAGCAATAAAGATTTTAAGCTGAAAATATGGCAAGCTCAGATTTGCATTTTGCCATGTAAGAAATGATTTGGTAGGGAGGACATAAGATAGGAGACACTTGTACAAGATTAAATGTAAATGGAGAAAAGATGGACTGCAGAGATATTTAACATTGTAATCAAAAGGACCTGGTGACCATTCAATTTGCACTGTACAGGGGGTGTCACACAGTGTCAAGGGTGTTGTCTCAGATTCTGACTCTAGCAAATGGTGAATGGCAGAGCTGCTTATCATGATACAAGGAAAGGAAATGGAGAAGATGGATTCAAAGCTCATGGAGTTCAAAGTGCCATTGGAACTTCAAGAGGAG